TAAAAATTTTAATTAATTAATTTTTGTGTAAGTTGGTTGGTCTTTTGACCTAACCGATTAGCCTAAATCATTTTTGATTTGACTAAGGGGTTGTTTGGGATGACCTAAATAAGTGTACTTTTTGTCTTTTTACGAAAAGATGTGCAGAAAAGTAGAGAGGTGATGTGATGAAAAAAAGATAAAAAGATGGATTATATTGGAGTTGTCAAACTTGGCCTAATTCGTTGGTTTAACTGCGATTTTAACAGTTTTATCAAAATATATTGATTAGATTTATTTGATTCGAAATAAACTAAATATTGATCCGATTAAATATTGAACGATTGAGATTGCTTGATTAGAAATAAACTTTCCGTCCAAATAATTGTGAATTTTTATTTTATAATCTCGCATCAAAAAAAGAAGGAAAAAATGAGTTGTTTTACTTATATAAAATAAACTTTAATATTATAGTATTGTGAATGCTTTAATTCAAGTCAGTTTAAATTTTAAAATTTAAATATCATTTAAAAGTTTTAATTAATTAATTTTTATATAAGTTGATTGGTCATTTGACCTAATCAATTAGGCTGAATTGTTTTTAGTGAGGAGTATTGTGAAAGTTTCAATATCTTATACTAATTTTTTTTATTTTTTCTTAATTTTAAACAATTAAGAAAATCTCCATTAAGCTAGCTCATTAGTCTATGATTTATTTGATAATCCTACATCGAGAGAAGAAGGAAAAAGTGAATTGTTTTACTTTTATAAAGTGAATCTTATACTCTCATTTAATATTGTAGTGTTGTGCATGTTTCAATGTTTCAAATTAATATTTTATTATTAATTAATTTTTGTGTAAGTTAGTTGGTCTTTTGACTTAACCGATTAAGCTAAATCATTTTTGATTTGACTGATTCGTTGGTTTAACCACGATTTTAACAATTTTATTAAAATATATTGATTATATTTGTTTGATTCAAAATAAACTAAAGAATGATCTGATTAAATATTGAACGACTGAGATTGCTTGATTAAAAATAAATTTTTATCCAAATAATTGTAAATTTTTATTTTATAATCCCACATCGGAAAAAGAATGAAAAATTGGATCGTTTAACTTATATAAATTGAACCTTAATATTGTAGTGTTGTGTATACTTCAATTCATGCCAGTTTAAATTTAAAAATTAAAATATCATTTAAAAGTTTTAATTAATTAATTAATTTTTGTATAAATTGGTTGGTTATTTGACCTAACCGATTAGGCTGAACTATTTTAGTTTGATTGATTAGCCGGTTTAACCGCAATTTTTCATAGTGATTTTCTTAATTTTAAATAATAATTTTTTTTTTCATTGGTTAGTTTTCATTTAACCATATAAAAATAAAATTCTAATTAATTTATAATTTATTTTATAATCCTACATCAAGAGAAGATGAAAAAAAAGTGAGTTGTTTCACTTATATAAAGTGAATCTTATACTCTCATTTAATATTGTAGTGTTGTGCATAATTCAATTCAAGACAATTTAAAGTTTAAAATAAAACCTCTAATTAGCCTATGATATGATTTATTTTATAATCTCACATCAGGAAAAGAAAGAAAAAGTGAGTTGTTTCATTTATATAAAGTGAATCTTATACTTCCATTTAATATTGTAGTATTATACATGTTTCAATTTAAGACAGTTTAAATTTTAAAATAAAATTTAAAAGTTTTAATTAATTAATTTTTGTGTAAATTAGTTGGTCTTTGACCTAACCGATTAAACTAAATCATTTTTTATTTGACTGATTCGTTGGCTTAGCCGCGATTTTAACAGTTTTATTAAAATATATTGGTTAAATTTGTTTGATTCGAAATAAATTAAAGATTGACCCAATTAAAGATTAAATGACTAATATTGTTTGATTCGAAATAAACTTCCCGTCCGAACAATTGTTAAATTTTTTTTTATATAATCCCACGTCGGGAAAAAAAGAAAAAAGTGAGTTATTTCATCAGTTATATAAAATAAACACATGCTTCCATTTAATATTATAGTGTGATATATGTTTCAATTGAAAACAATTTAAATTTTAAAATAAAATAAAATATAAATGTTTTAATTAATTAATTTTTATGTAAGTTGGCTAGATTTTTGATCGATTTCAACGATTTTATCAATATATATATATTGTTTTATTTCTAAAATGTATGTTTAAGTTTTATGACAAACTTTAATATAGAATAAACTAAAACTTAAAAAGAAAATTATAAAATGAAATTTATTTTTATTTTATCATTAATATAATTTTTTTTTTTTGTAATTTATTCTATTTTTTTCATCTTTATTTTTATTTTATGAGTATGAAGATAAAGATCGAGGGCACAGATCTGGGGCAGATACAAAAAAAGAGAAAACAAAGACGAAGTTTCAGATTCAAGAACAGAGGTATAGTTCTCAGAAACAATAGAGATACAGGAAAAAATCAAGGACAGCGGCAAAAAGAATGATGAAAAAACACAGAAGTTCAAGGTCAAGCCACAAATTCAAGATACAAATAAAACCAAGACCTCGAACAAAGATCAGTAATGGCAACAGACAGACAAAAGCACATAAAGCGAATGAAAGAATTCAAGGAAAGGGTCTTACCAGGACAAATGAAACCGAAGCAATGCTCGCCGAACCTAGAAACCGGTTGCAACAGGAAAGAAGGCTTTGCAAGAATGAGGGATTAAGCGCAGTTCCAGAAGAGAGATTGAAGCGATGGCAGATTCAAAGAAGAATGAGCTTTCAGAGAGAGAAAGAGCAAGAAGGCGGAATGAAAAAGTGAAGAAAGGAAAGAGGCAAAAAAGAGTTTTGTCAAAAATTTGAAACGGCGGCAAAATTAGGGCAATCATTACGCCTAGGGTAACGCACGCGTCAGACGGCGCAAGACGAATGAACGGACAGCTTCCAGGCGCGTCTCAGACACGCTCCAGTGAAAACAAAGCACGTAGAAAGGAACGGTTAGATATGCATGACAGCTCATGCGCATGGAAGAGTACGACCGAAGCCTCGTTCTCCGAAGAGAACACGTCGGCTGAAAGTAGATAATCTTGGCTAAACAGTTTTTTTGAGCCATTACTCAGAAAAGAAGTAACAAAATTTCGGAATAGATTCCATCACCTCAGAATGCCGAAGTAATAGAACCTAGGGGGCAGTTGTGGGGATATATTTTCTGGATACCAACACGTGGCATGGTGACGCCGACGTGTCAGCCGAGGTGCCACGTGCCTTGGTAGTTAAGCCGAGGTAATCTCGGAGAAGCCGAGGTCATCTCCGAAGATATCGGAATCCGAGATAAGGGGCAAGAGTCCTAAGGCACAAAGGGGATTGAACCAAGATAAGGATAAAACTCTCAAGGAGTTTATCTATATCACTTAAAAGAGTCCAGAGTAAACGATAAGGATAAAGCTCTTAGGGAGTTTATCTTTATCTCTTGAAGAGTCCAGAGTAAACAGTAAATTAGAGTTCATAGAAGTCATACTTCTAGTGGGACTTGGATTGAGTATATTATAAAAGAGAGGCACCCCCGTGGGTCTAAGGTATGTAATTTATACTTTGAGTATTCAGTTTAGTATTTAATTATCTTTGAGAGATATACTGACTTGATCGTCGGAGTGCCCCCGGGTGGAAGAACCACCACCGGAGCTTTTTCTTTCTGTTTCAGGTTGCTTAAGCCATCTATTCTGCTTGTGCTCTTCAGCTGATCACTAAACGGGCAGTGTGGTCAAATTTTCACCCACACATAAGTGTACTTTTTAACTTTTTAGACTGAAAAGTAAAGAAAAAAAAGTGATTATTTGAGATAAATTTTTGACTTTTTACGAAAAATTGTGTATTAAAATATTATAGTATAAAATATCAAAATTATCATTTTATCCCCACCATAATGAATTGCCTGCTGACTTAGATTGTTCAGGAAGCCAAATGGTGGGCAGGAAACAAGTATAGAAGCAGATTGCCTACAGTCTGAAATCGGACTGGACGGTGTTGTTCAGTCTATGAGAGCCACCACGGGTCTCGTTTTGATAATCGGAACCGTTGAATATGTAGAAATCATCGAGTTTTATATGCTTGTAAAAAATCATGTTGGTCGGATATCGATAGCTATCTGATCAGATTAGTTTTTTGTCAACCGTTAATTTCTTCGTCTATTTTTTTTTACAAAACTGATTTGATCATATAGTTATCGATATCCGATCAGCGTGATGTTTTACAAACATATAGTATTCGACGAGTTTTACACATTGAACGGTTCAGATTATCAAAACGGAACCCGTGACGGACCCCCACGGGCCAAATAGCACCATCTTGTGCAAATTTTTGTGTGCACCCGTGTGACCATCACTTCAATACTAACAGTGGCTTGTACTTGGCTTGTGTAAAAAAAGGTTTTTTATATATATTTTTTGTGGTGATAGTGATAATTTTTTTACTTTTTTAATAATTTTTTGACTTTTCGTATTTTTTAGTATATGCCAAACCAGGCCTTAGTCTCACCATACTAATAATCTTCTTATTAACAATTCTCACGCAAACAATCTCACCCTACAAAAGCCTAAAAACAAACGGGCCCAAAGATCTTTGCCAAATTCAAGTTTTTTTGTTCATTCCTGAAACCTGAGCTCAATTAGAGTAAACTCAGGTTAGAGCTGCAACTTCAACTTAGTTTAAAAAAAATTCTGCACAAGTACTCATTTTAAAACAATTTTTAAATATATATATATATATATATATATAAATGTGTACAAAAATTATAAAGACACATACACTGCATATAAAATTGTGCGTAAAAAATACATGTATGATCTTCTCAAGTTGGATTGGATTGAGCTGAGTAACTCTAAAACCATATCAATCCAATCCGATTGAGCTGAGAGTAACTCAAAAACCAAATCAATCCAATCCGTTGCACCCCTAACCAAGGGGGAATGATTTTCAGGAATTTTTGCTTCGCAGATGTCATCCTTATCTAATGAAAACACTTTGTAACAAATAAAACGTTTTGAAAACAAATATAAGTAATGTGACTTGTTGAACTAATGTAGTTGTAATACATGAGATGGAATTAAAAACAAAAAAAAAAGGTTTTGCCCTATGATACATTATTCTGAAATGCAATAATGTCTACAAGACATTTTTCGAGAAGGAAGACCTACCAAAATTTATCAAATGAATAGTGTGCGCTACTGCCAGTACTTCAGCTATATTTCTGTACAATTTATACCCACTGGTACAAGCAAATCGCTGTACAGTTCTTCATAAATCTTTTTTTTCCTCATTTTTCTTTGTCTTCGATTATTTTGGGTGAGGAGTTTATATTGCCAGAGTTCCTTCAGACACTTGATTACCATCTGAAGAATCTGATGGTTGAGTTTTGGGTTTACTCATCATTCGAGAATATCCATAGCCAAGAGAACTTCCACTTGCTTCACAGAGCTGCATGCAATAATTGAATGTGGCAACCCAGTCAAAACCTGGAGAGAAGAAAATAAAAGGGCATGTCTAGTTCAGGTTTGAACTGGACTGAGCACCAACATTGCAACATGTCAGCATTTTATGGTAAATAAAGGCCCAGATTTGTCCATCCACTCGCATGTCCAATATTGGATAAATGCAAGAAGGTGGACGAATCTGGGCATTTGTTTGCCACAAAATGTTAACTTGTTGCAATCTTGGTGCTCGGATTGCTTGGTCCAGTTCAAACCCGAATTAGATAGAAGCCAAGCTCTAAAAAATACCTGGGCTATATTCAAAACACAAAACCAAACTGTAACATTAAGTACCTCGGTTAGCTCAGAAAGATGGCGGGACCTAAACTCATTGATAGTCGCCGCTATTTCTGACGTTGGCAGTTTAGCCTAACAAGGGAAAACATGAAACAGTAAACCATATGAGAAAGAAGCCCAGAAATAAATAAATAAATATATATATATATAAAGACGACAACAACAACAAACAAAACACCCAAAAAAACAAAATAAAATTTGTTACCCTGTTTTACATAAACACTGTTAAACAATTTCACAAGCAAAGCATTATTAACCAAAAGGCCTTGATGAGAGTTTTGCATTCCTACATAGTGGCTAGTGGATTGACATGGTCCGATCCAACTGCCATCAGTTTTCGATGTGTTGACCTTAACATGCTTCTTATTTGTGTTTTCCCTCAAAAGCTAAGCACGGACATAAACACGTGACACAACATAATACGAACATGCAAATTTTTAAAAAATGCATAGACACAACACAGTTCAAACCCGAATTAGATAGAAGCCAAGCTCTAAAAAATACCTGGGCTATATTCAAAACACAAAACCAAACTGTAACATTAAGTACCTCGGTTAGCTCAGAAAGATGGCGGGACCTAAACTCATTGATAGTCGCCGCTATTTCTGACGTTGGCAGTTTAGCCTAACAAGGGAAAACATGAAACAGTAAACCATATGAGAAAGAAGCCCAGAAATAAATAAATAAATATATATATATATAAAGACGACAACAACAACAAACAAAACACCCAAAAAAACAAAATAAAATTTGTTACCCTGTTTTACATAAACACTGTTAAACAGTTTCACAAGCAAAGCATTATTAACCAAAAGGCCTTGATGAGAGTTTTGCATTCCTACATAGCGGCTAGTGGATTGACATGGTCCGATCCAACTGCCATCAGTTTTCGATGTGTTGACCTTAACATGCTTCTTATTTGTGTTTTCCCTCAAAAGCTAAGCACGGACATAAACACATGACACAACATAATACAAACATGCAAATTTTTAAAAAATGCAAAGACACAACACATTGGGAACACGTGCTAAACATAAAATTTTATATATTTATTATGTCATTTTTTAAATATTTAATATGTATTTTATGTTAGATATTAAATTTTATCAAATTTATCAACCTTAAGTATGCAATTTTAGTAAAAAAATTAAAAAATCCTCAACATATCTTTAACATGTCCCCAGAGTATCCTGAGCGTGTCCCCAACGTGTCTACAGTGTATCCCAAGTATCCAACTCTTTCTAGTGTGTCTAACAAGTGTTTGGAACGTATCTGGTGCGTGTCCGACACCTATACGTGACCTCTGAAAGAGGTGTCCGTGCTTTCATAGCTCAAAAGTATACAGTTTGCATGCATGAAAGTGAATTTATAAGAAGGCAGCATAGGAAACTAATTGAAACCAAGGTAAGCACGTAGAAATTCATTAATTCAACTTATTCTTCCACAATAAAACCCAAAAGAAACTAAAATATCGAAAAGAAATAGCATAGTAAAATGAAATTACTTGTGCCTATTCATTTTTCTATGGGAAACCCCCAAAAAGAGGATTTCTTTTAGTCTTTCAGAGCCTATTAATTTCCTTACATTTTCCCAACCAACCAAAAAAGAGCAAGCAATATTTAGGTTCTATCATTACGTTTCCTTCTCCCCTTTTCCCTCTCCTATTTTCCCTTGGTAAATTCAAGAACCAAAGAAGCAAAGAATGTAAAAATGTATCATTCATATTATAGCAAAAGGAGACTAAGTTTACAGTAATTGCGTGATCCGTTAATCCAAAAATAAATCACTTTCATTTTTGTTTGCATACTTTAAATTATATATTCCAAGTGACGATAGGAGCTAGCACAGTAAGAAACAAAATCAATGGAAAATAATCTTCAGCTTCCTGATAAATGATTTATTACACCATCTGACCGCACACTACACGTGACCCAATTACCAATGCTAACCAGAGAAAACTAGAGTTTTTGCTAATAAAACTTATACAGTGAAAAATATTATACAAATCAGTGTTGGTCATACTGTCACTTACCTGTGCAAGAACAGCAGCAGCTAGCTGGAGACTCGGTTCCAAGGTCTCAGGGACAACCTGTTAAAGTTCCAACATAAAACTTAAGGTATGATGTAGAAGCATTTCAAATTTGAACACGAGCAAACCTTTACATAGATAAAGCAAGATATATTAGGAATGATTAAATAATTATACACAAGTCATGCAAGAACCATGAGCTCCTACAACATAACCCTAAAATTTAAGGGTAATATTTAGCTGTATGCGGAATTAGGGAAGGAGTGAAATAACTATGGGTAACCACCCTTGAGGTTTCAAAAATACAATAAGCCCCATAAGTTTAGCATAATTACACTAACCTCCCTTTTAATAAGGTTAAAGCGAGCGAAACTAATGCAAATGGTATGAAGACACAAGGATAAAACGTACATTTCAGTGTAAAACAAATGACATCGTCATTTTTCCATCCACACGACCAATGAATTACTGATAAAAAATGGGTTAAGTGTTATATTAAAACCTTAAGGGAGTCCAGTGTGCCACACTTGTGGGGCACAATGTATTTTCTTCAAAACTCAAGAGAGGTTATTGTAATTTACCCAATAGTATTTATATAAAAAACAGTAACAGAAAGGTACCGCTGTTGCCCCCGCCTTCTCCAAATTGAGGCCATGATCAATGTCATGAGCACGGACAAATGTCTTCACATTAGGGAAGTGCTTACTCAAAGCCCAAACAGTTCTATAGTTTGCACCAGGAGAATCTAAAGTTATTGCTGCTGCGCATGCTCTTTCAGCACCAACTTTATGGAGCACCTGGAGTCGAAGAATACAAAAAGCACATCAGAAAATGAACCTCAAGAAAGCATATTTTAAGTTTGAGCACAATTTGCTATACCTCTCGACTACCAGCATCTCCAAAATACACAGGAAGATCAAGTGCACGGCCTGCCGCTACTCGGTCACTGAAATGGTGGAGAATCTAAAATCAGTTATCTGAATTATGCTGCAAAATAAGCTTATTCCTTCCTCCATATTTTTAACACATTCTCACCAAGTCAGGGACATGGCAGAGTAAGAGTATGAATTTTTAAATCTACCTTTTTTTAAACAATTTGCATTAATGTTAAAATGTCCACAGAGATACTTTAGGAAATGTAAAGAAATTATAGAAAAACATGCAAGCAAAGGCTGGATAATCCTGCATATCCAATTTAAAGATAATGGAGTTGAAATCAACCAGAATATTACACAGCGTTTGTTTTCACCAAAAAATGTTTCTTTGGGGACAAAGTTTTCCTAATGTTTGGTTGTGTCCTTGAAACTAATGTACTAATGATTGTATTGGTGATAGTGGTGGGGCGGCAGCGGTGTGGTGGTGGCATTGGAGAAAATGTCCGGAAAATGTTTTCCACCTTCTAAAAGTGGGGAAAAAATCGTTTAAATAGTTTTTCATTCACGGAGAAATATTTTCCGCCCAAACAAACAGAGCATTAATCCGTTTGTTTTTTCTTCTTTTCCAAGCAAGTAATACTAAATTTTATCATAACAAATGGGCATCATATAGGGAAATAAAGGAGGCATACCCCGAGAGCAGAAGTACATGATTTAGTCTTTAAAACATAAATCACCACAAAAAGAACTAGCTACAAATCTCACAGCCCACAAGCATATCACTATACTAGCAGAATATTCATTCAATAAGTTGTTCTCTCTCTTACAGTCCCAAAATTGACCTAAGTCCATGAATTCAGTTCAGTGTGATGTAAGCATACCTTCTCACGTCAAGAGCAACAAATGGAATAAGTCGTTCTGAAAGAAGCTGTGCAATGATCTGAAAGAACCACAAGAAAGAAAATACTGTTAGAGAAAACATGGTTCATTCATCCATAGATAAACTACACTAAAAATAGATCCTCTACATTAAACGATTTTAAACCAACTCCTCAAAAAAGGATTTGTAAATAGAGACAATACCTGGCCAACTCGTCCAAACCCACAAAGAATGATATGATCCTGCAAATCATCTGTCTGGAAACAGCACAAGCCAAAGGAAATCAATAAATCAATTGTCCTAATATCAATAACAATCCAATATCACATTCACCAAACTAGGTAATTCATTATGTGGACAAATAATATGGCTACATCTGGCATTAAACACAGCTTAAAAGCAATGAATATAAAGATTAGACAGCTTGAATACACTACCTAAGCCTCAAAAAATAGTCTTAACGTTAGAAAATCATATTGTACCATCTGATTATGCAAATAACAGTTAAAAACTCTTATGCATCAAGAGTGAAATAAGTGTGTGGTATAGGCCCTCAACATCATCTTCTATATTCTCGAAAGGAAAGATGTTCTTTTTTTCGTGTGGGGTGGAGGGTGGATTCTAACGGAATAAGGAGCCCTATTCGCCACTCTACATGACTTATTCCAATCAACTTGATATTAAATCATTTTTTTCTTTTGACAATTTAATAATGGATTTCCTACAAATATTGCAAGCACTAACTGATTTTAGAGCAGAGACTTTATGGGAGTCACTTTTTCACCATCATCATCAAATATTTTTGCATGAACTGAAAGTGGACTTGAAAAAGAATTTAAATCCAATAATAGCAGCTACAAGCAAGAAAAGACAGTGTTCACCCAGGATTTCTCGAGTGTGTAAGAACGGCCAGTTTATTGAAACCTAAGACCCAAAAGAAAAAAGTTCACACATTTGAGTAATTCAAAAGCAAAAACAATTTCATGATGTTGACAAGAGAGATTTTTTTGAACACATTATAATTTATAACAATTTCCCGGTATTTTAGTGCAACAACTAATTGTTGTGCTTGTGATAGATAAGTTTTTAATTTTCCCCTCACATGAAATGGTTAAAATGATCGCTAAAAAATATCTGTTTATCTTCATAAGGATTGAAAGTCACTTGTTTGCAGCATATCCACCTAATTAAAGAAATAAATCACCAAACTTTGTTTGTAGAACTGTGCTCCCCAGCCCTGATTGACAAACCATATCCATCGACTAGAATAGTATTTGTACACCACAAATCATTATAACTTGAAAAACAATAATTCCATGAAACACTAGTGTAAATGCTTTCTCAGATATCACCAGTATCAGTAAAAACTTGAAATGACGAATTTTACCTCACTCTCTACAGGTAATAAACTCCGCACATCATGCAGCTCAAAACGAGAGGCTATTAACTGGCCTCCAGCAGCTAACCATGGGGTTAGGGCCATTGACATCCCTACCACAAGAAACAGCAGTGATGACAGCTGAGAAGACATTATACCCTGCAAAAATGCCAATAAACAAACAATTATTAGGTGTGTTAACAATAAATAGAAAAATGTATACTACCTCCTACATGGCCTCCAACAAACAAGATGTCATGAACCATCAATAAGTAACTATTGGTCTTTTGAGGACACAGAAGTGCTGTAATATAGGTCGAAAAGTACATTTTTTAGTTGTTTATATAGTTCAGAGAAGGCGGTTATAATCCTTCTCTCGACCAATTTTAGATTTTGCAGTGCCTTTTGATACGCATAGAGGTGTATGGGTGTATTTTGTTTTATGGTTTTTTGTTTTCCCAAAAATAAGGGTGCCATTCCCTTAATGCTAGGTTTCTAATGACTTTATTGTTACAAAATATATATATATATATATTGTAAAGTCTATACCATCACATTTATAACAAAAACCTTTCCAGTTTTTATATGCAGCAGCAGCCCCCACTTTGACAAAAGTCTCTCATGTAAGGCTACAATTTTGAAGAATTTTAAGAATGGAAAAGAAAAATAACAATAATAATAACATATGTTCATATCACAAAGTTGGTTCTAAATTAATCCAAAAGGAACAATATGAAGAACCATAAAAATCAGTAACTGCATTTTTTCAGACATCTGTTCACAACTGTTAGTCAGCCTCGAATGGGTTATCTCCTAAAACTCTCCATTCTGGACATTGTGACAAGTTGGAGTGATCAGTTTCAAGTTTGAACCCCTTACCACTATCTAACCTAGAAGGATATACAATATCAGAGATGACAGAAAACTATCTAGAATGCTTTGCAATAAAGATAATTTCACAAACTCCACTGAAATGTCAAATCCATTTACACATTAGTAGCCTCTTCATACACAAAGACAGCCCAATGAAAAGCCACATATATACAATTTTTTACTTTAAACTCACTGTGTCATGAAAATCCTTCTTCACTTAGTAGATGCATAATACGCACAACTACATAAGATTATACAAGTCATGACAATTCATGGGTGCCTAAAATTTTCTGGGTTTAAGTTTCAGGAGACTTGAAGTTCCAAGTTTGTCCTTCAGTAGCTAGCAACTTTAAGGTGAACTTCAATGCAGACACCTTTTAGCCATGCCATGTATGCATATAAGCACATTTAAACAAGTTAACTACGAGAGTCATCAATCATAAGCCTCAAAATCCAATAATAAAATTTACACACTCCTATCCATTTGTAACTATGGTATACTTTAGTTCATGGATATTCAGTGCATATGTCTCTGTGTTTGCCTAGTTAGAAGCCTAATATTCACATAACCAATGTTAACTCAACTGAATCAAATAGAATTAAGTTTTTATTACGTGGGCCCATAGTAAAATCAACATTTTGAATCCAACACCCAGTAATTTATCCTAAAAAATTGCAATGACTGCTGAGCCGTAAAACTTACAAGCAAAATATATAGCTCATAGAGAATAAAACCTGATTAACAGCTTCACCAAAAGCCACAAATGCAAATTCTCCACCAGGAGCAAGTAGAAGACCAACTCGTATTGCAGATATAATTGAAATACCAAAAAGTCGACCAACTACAGCAACCAATAAAGTCTTCCCACCAATTAAAAGACCTAACATGCCCATAATAACTGGAAAGTTTGAAAGAAGAAGTTTTGGATCAATGGACATTCCAACCTGAAACCACAAGAACAATAACCATTAACCAGAGGTAATAGAGTAACTATTCCTACTCTATACTACATTGGTCATATAAATCTGCTAGAATCGATAATTTTCCAGTAACATGAACAAGTGTCATTATTCTCAACTCTGCAGTATGAATTGAAGAATGGTATTGAAATTTGTAAGACAATGACTAATGCAAACATGAAAGTGGCTGAAAGATGAAATTACATAGAACGGGTGGCCCACAAAACTGGAGAACTGCAGAAATAGAGGATCTTTTACATATAAAACCTGATTCTATCAAGGATTATCTTTTCTCTACATCAATAAGAGCCTTTTTATATCTAGAAATTTATGGATTAGATTAGATAATGAAAGGATCTTATGGTCATAGATATATGTGAGAGCCTACCGTCATGAAGAAAAGACCCAATAGAAGGCCACGATATGGGGCAATATCTGATTCAACCTGTAAAGAAAATTCTGTTTCCGCCAGAAGCAAACCAGCCAAAAATGCTCCCAATGCCATGGACAGGCCAGCCTGTACCATTTATAATAATAAATTCATACACTTGACACTAGAATCATATAAAAAGGTAAAACTTAAAAACATATGAGCATACCCTAGCTGTAAGGAGACTAGTCCCCAGAATAACAAAGAGTGTATTTGCAGAGAATATCTCAGCATTTTGATTCTCTGCAATTTGCTTATAAATTGGCCGCAGCAGCTGAAAATTAGCACAAGAATGACTAATAAGATGAACTTCACAAACACTAAAGAATAATCCATGACTTGTGTACTGTCAAAAGCTGCATAATAGTTCTGTATAAAACCAAAAGATAATATCATGGATTATATTCTTGATACAACATACTAATGATATACAATGAAATGATTTATTAAATTTTCTTGCAAGAAGGATATACTTGTTGAGAAGTTAAGTACAAAAATTGCACCATCACAAGCATAAAATGTGATTTCATCAATTAAGAAATCATATTTCTATGTCCAACAACATATAGAACTCACCAAGCGTCCTCCAGCAATTATGGCAGTAATCGCAACAATAGCCTTCACAGCAGCCAATCCAAGAGCTTCAGCAATAGCTTGGAAACCAACCTAAAAATGACAGTAAAATTACCCATCGTAACAACAGAAGCAGCAGCAGCAATAGCACTGGCAGAAACAACTATTATAGCAGTTACAGCTACACTAAGCAAGCTGAAACCCAAAAGTGAAAGCAATCTTAAAAAATTATTGATTAAACTTTTCCGGTTAGGAAACAAGTATATTAGCATCACATTCTCAACAATGACTGCAGAAGAAAGGATGATGTGGCAGTATGCTGTTGATCAATACATGTGGTATAACAAACAAATAAAAAGAAAAAAATTGTGAGAATTAGTAAGAACTGTTACCCCTCCTTTAGATGAATTTGGTGAAATAAGAGGTATGAGTATCAGCAAGACCACAACAGCCAAATCCTGGAGGAAATGAACCCAAAAAAAAAAAGGAAAGATCGAAAGGACAGTCAATATAAAAATAGAATCAAGTTCAAAATAGACACAAACACAATCAACTCAGATAATATAAGGTGAAAAAGAAGCCCAAACAAATGGCGGGAAGAACATTAAAAAATCATTAAGAGGCAAAGCCTGGAGGTGGTGAAATCACACATGACAATGAATGGGCACATACAGACCAAATCACTTATTCATGCCTCATCTTCCATTCTACTATTTCAAGTATCTTAAGGAGTATGCATTGGATTATAATACCTAATGAGTGGAAATAGTGCAAACATATTGGATCAGAACTGGATTCTACATTATAAAGGTTCTGGTTAGTTCCAAAATGTTCATCTTTAGACATAATTATGACACCTTACTGTTATACAGTATCTGAAATAATTTAAAGTCCACAAAAAGCAAGGATATGATAGTTACTTCATAACAAGTTGTTAAGTCAAGTACAAGACCACAGCACTTTGACCATATTTACTTCATAACATCCAAGAACATACTTTTTGAGGCCACACAGATACCTGGAAAAGTAAAACAGAAAATGTAGCTCGTCCATGGCGTGATGTGCTCTCACCTCGTTCCTGCAATACCTGCAGAATAAATCCCAAAAAAAAAATTCAAATAATTCATCTGCCCAATAAAAGGGAATCAACCAACAAATATTATAGCCCTAACTAATTGATCCCTGACAAAATTTAAGAATAA